ACAATATCAATGACACTTTTTCCAAATACACATTATGACGCCTTTTTAAGCTGTAAAAAACCCTTGTGCACAAATCATGAAAATCAGTTTCGAGACCACTTGTTTGAACAAAAACAGCCCAGATGCAGTTTATTTCTTTAGAGTTTGTCACATCAAAACTGACTGCATTTCCTATGCTATCTGGGCAATAAATATCTAAAAGTGATTTCATGTCATTGTCTATTGCTGACGCAATGTGGACCTGACCAGCTACAATTCTTATTTCATCATCTTTTTCTGAAGATTTGTATCGAAGTATGTTTTTTCTAATTTGTGCTTGTGAGGATCGGCTCCACTCTTTGCTACATTCATTCAGTGACAGGAGAGACTGGAATCTTGAACACTTAAGGTTTACTATGTCTTCATATGACAATTCTCTGAACTGTATGAATTTTGAGAAGTCATTCTCAAACCAGCATATTTGTTTCCATTCCAACTGATTGAAATTCTGCTTATAATCTACTACCAATGTTGGAATATCACTTTCATTGATATTTAAAGAGTCAACTAATATTGATGTTCTTAATATCTGTGTTTTGGCTATCAGTTTGTAAAGTTCTAATGACGTTGTTTGAAATGTACTCTCTTCAGACACAAGCTGTTGTTCAATATCTCTAAGTATCTTCTTACAGGAATTGGTTGTATTATGTTGGCATAAATATTTAAAAACTGTCAATACTGTGGCACATTCTTTGCCTAGAAATGTTCTTGAACCACCCTGAAAAGATTTGAGAGCGCGTTTTAAATTACTTTTCTGAATATTGTCTCCACTTCTGCTAAGGACACTATAAACATCCTCAATGAATATAAAATGCTCATTGGTATTCTGATCTTTGTTGATCTTGAAGGTTTGAGAAAATTTCATGATAACCCATTGATGAGAACCTGTAAAAGAAACCTTAAAGTTTGAGTAAAACTTAAAAGCGACTTTTTTCAATAACTTATATTTTGTTATAACCTATGGTTGATAAGAAGTAGTGCCTAAATGGACACATAGACGGATGCCGTTAACAACAGACACATTGTTGTGACATTGGACTGAATTGACTGTTTATACATATTTCATTAATAATATTTTATGGTAAATGTAATAAATGTAGATGGTCTATTAACAAAGCTCCTACTCTGAACAAGTTCTAATTAAATTAGGTAGAAACGATGACCTATTTGATTCAGTAAAATAGGTTGTTGTACAAGGCTAAATTTCAATAGTTTCTTATCACATAATTGTAAACGTTAAACAAATGATTTTTTATATATGTACTTTTTTCTTGATTGTAAAACTGACTGCCAATTCAATGGAAATAAATTTCAAACTAATTTCTGACAAAAAAAAAAACACAAATAGAAAAATTTGTCCTGAGTGGTATTTACAAAGTTATTAAAAGTTCATATTATTACAGGAAGCCCCACTGCCTGTTACATAAGTTAGCCTTAAATCTATTCATTAACGTAAATATAATGAGCACTCAAAACTGCTTAAATACAAATGCAGCACTTTACTTTCAATGTATGTTTTATCTTAAATGACCGAATTATTTCTCCGATCTAGACATGTATAAACTAATGCTTGTTACTGAGTATACATTTTAATTCGAACAGTAAATAAATAAGTATCTTACCTTTTCATATTTGACTTCCACTGTGTTTTAAAATGAAAACAATTATCATATAAAAAGAAAACAGACTTAAACCTGCTATTCAACAAAATAATATGAACAAGAGGCCAGCAATTTATTTGTATTAGTATTTATGTAAACAGAAGTACCATCATTAGTTTCTGGTTTGGGCTTATCAGGTGGAAATGGGATATTAATTGCCCCCCATGCTGTGAATCAGCCACACTGACCACTTAATGTCTTCATGGTAATTCTGTAAATAACAGTACTGGCCAGATCAGTAGTGATCAGATTTTTGGGTCTATGGTCTCGTCTGTTCTGTAGGAATCGTACTTGTTTCGGCTGTTGAGAGACTGTCCACCAATTTCGGGGCTATCTTCGCACGAAATTAAAAATTTCATATTCGTATGCCCATCTTGTGTCAATTTCGGGACAGTGTGACGCCTGCATAAGGAAACAAGATGTCTGGCTGTTTTAGGAAGGCAGCACAACTATGTGAAGCCCCCGCAATACCGTCGTGTCGCCATCGTATTTTAGTACGATGACATTGAGATGGGACCACGATGTGGACGAAGAAAGCAAATTTGAGTGGTCTAAATGTTGCATACGTATCATGGTTGACATATAAAAGGCAAGTCTTAGACCATCTTACTCATCTGTCAGTCCTGCAAATCTCTACAGAGACTTCAAAAGCTTACATTCTTTGCAATTGATAAACAATCATTTTAGTTTATTTCCTGCAGAATGGCATACTTTGATGATGAGTCAGCGGTATTGCTACTTTTGATAAACCTTAGAAAACATGATGAGCAACTCTAACAGGCCCACTTTGGGTAGCATGATAAAGTTCAATCAAACTTTTAACGTAGATTTGCTACCAATACTATCAGCAACTGAAATATTAAAATTTACCGCGGTTGGCCGAAGGTTTAATACCACCAATAGATCCCGTGACGCCTTCGTGACCACGTTTGAACGCATCGTACTCAAAATACGATGTCGTGCACCTATCGCGTGGCCTTCGCGTGTCATGCAGGCAAACTATTTGGTAAAAAAATTGCATCTTTGAGGTGACTTCGAGTGTGGATCGGATGCCATCGCGTAACCTTCGGTAGGAATCGTACTTGCTTCGGCTGTTGATTGGCTGACTACCAATTTCGTGGCCATCTTCGCGAGAAATTCAAAATTCCATATTCGCATGCCCATCTGGTGTCAATTTCGTGAAAGTGTGATGCCTGCACTAACAAAATACATTCAATAAACATAGATCTATTGAAAAATGATACAAACTCACTTACGCAGGAAAAAATCTCTTTGGCCACGGTAATAACATCTTATAAAATGTACCAGTAACGTATCATTTACTTATTCTTTATTTCAAGTTAACAATATGTTTTTCCCTCGCCAATAGATAGTGTAATCATTAAAACACACTTTATGCTAGAAAGGCGGCAATCCATGACGTGATACCTACGCAATTTGTAGGTAGATGGATGTCATAATGTAGATGTGAACTGCAAAAGAAAAATACTCTGCCTTGCCTAATACTAGAGTAATTGACCTTTCTTCATTTTTACACTTGTCCAAGACATAAAACTAAAAAAGATATCGACAAGAAACTTTGTAGGTAGATAAATCTCAATGGGTAGATGTGCATTGCAAAAGAAACGTTACTATGCCTTACCTAATTTTTGAGTTGTTGCCCTTTGTTAATTTTTATTTTTTCAACTTTGTCCGGGACATTTATCTGAAAATAGTAGAGATATCAGTAAGAAACGATGTAGGTAGATATATTCCAATGGTAGATGTGCAGTGCAAAAGAACCGTTACTCTGCCTTGCCTAATTTGGAGTCATTGCCCTTTGTTTATTTTTACATTTTGAATTTTGTCCAGGACAAAACTCTGAAACTATAAGAAATATCAACAAAAAACTTTGTTGGTAAATATATCTCATTCGTTAGATGTGCAGTGCAAAAGAACGTTACTCTGCCTTGTCAAAGTTTACACAGTGAACATTGTGTTGGGCATAACTCTGAAACTTTTAGAGATATTAACAACAGTTTTTGTATGTATATAGATCTCATTAAGTAAATATGCAGTGCAAAAGAACCATAACTTTGCCTTTCTTAATTTTGGAGTAATTGCCCTTGTTCATTTTTACACTTTGAACATTGTCCGAAACATAGCTCAACAACCACAAAAGGTATCAACAAGAAACTTTGCAGGTAGATAAATTTCATCGAGTATAAGTGCAGTACAAAAGAAACGTAACTCTGCCTTTCCCAATGTTTGAGTTATTGCACTTTGATTTTGCTTTCGGGACATAACTCTGAAACTAGAAGAGGTTTACTTTTCTGTGTCCAAAACCTATTCGGGGAGATCAACCGGTTCTTGTTTACTTTGAAATGGAAAGTATGTGTGCGATTTAAACCGGATGATTTTTAATTAGAAACAAAGTACTATTTGTATTCGGCAGAAATATATTTTGTCCGGTATACTGATTGTCCGGTAAATATGAAGGATCTTAGTATTGTATTATGGTAGGGATGTTTATAAACTTCTCAACTTACAAATAAGATGTCTTGCCAGAAAATCATGAGCACGGTTAAGGAAAAGAACTATTCATTTAACACATTTTCTTGCTTTTTTAGTGATTATCAATTAGTGCATATTGTGAAAAGAGCGATATGCTCTTTTATTCAAGGGAACAATTACTGTGCTCACATTTGGTAGGAAGGTAAGATTGTGACAGGTATTACGTACGTTATTCTCTTAACTCTAGTGTCAAGAAGGACTTGTCTCCGCCATTAATCAAGAGCCATTCAAGTCATTCTGACTAGGTTCTTCACTGTTGTATGTCTTAATGATAATGTACAACAGTTTGTTTAAGGCTTTAAACGTAAGCATTTAAAAAGTAACTGTCACATTTCTAGTTTGTATTGGATAGCTTAAATCACTTGTAGAATATGATAAATGTCAAGTCATGTTACCAATCTGATTGTAATTAGCTCACTAGCGCTATTTTTTACTCAGTGTTGGCATAATGTCTGTAGGCCATCGTCATTCATTTGTTATAATTTCTTTTAGCAAACATCTTCTCCTTAACAGCATGGTGTAGTTTGACCAATACTCCCATTTATTGTTTACACTTATTTATTTATTTTCTTTCAAAACAACAACATTGAACAGTAAAAATATCTTTTCACTTTGTGCTTTTGAAAACATTTTTACATATAGCTGAATGATTGCAGCTTTAAGATTTTGAATGTTTTCAGTGAGAAATAGTTTCATGTAAATATAAGCACAGTATATAAAACACAAGGCATTCAACGGTTTTATTTCATAAAATATGTGTATACTACAGTCTCTGATTATAAATTGACATATTAATCTAAACATATTTGTTAAGTAACATAATTTAAAATGTCATAAAATACAAGTTGAACTCCTTTTCTTTTTTAACAACATTTTCACAGTTAAAAAATGTTCCAAATTGTTTATAATTTAATAACAAGTGTTTGTACAACTTTGAAGTTCACAAAGGACAATAAGTTTAAATAGCAACAGTTAGTACCATGCAGTCAAAACAAAAACTGATCGCTATATATTTGTTAATATTTTGTCTGTCTTTGTAGAGAAAGATATCTGTCATTATTTAGACAATTTAAAGAGTTTGATAAAGTGTCGTTCTTTTGTAAGAAATGAGCTGCTTGCGTACAATGTACATGTTTCAGCAGACCAGTAGACAGATTGAGGGTTTTGTATATCTTTTACAACAACTTGTCCTTTACTACAGTCTCCTGATATCTCTTCTATGATATTGCTGTCACAATAACAAACAAACACAGTCCCATCATCTGACATTATCAAACCACGTGGAACATCTGCACAAACATATTTACCTTTCACGTCACACTGCCAGTTTAACTTAGTAACTGTTTTCATGTAAAAATCAGATACATAGATACAATTGTCATTTGTTGTAATATATTCTGGAATTTGGAAAATATTTTCATTTTGTATTGTCTGTAAAACAGTACCATTACTAAGAAGGATTTGAACTTTAGCTGGTTTGCAATATGACACCACCATTTTATCCCTATGACAGACTATACCATAACACTTTCCATCAACGTTTAAAGTGTGCTTCTGCTTGAGATTATTCCTATAAACAGAAAAGAACTCTACAGTTTTATTGTCTGGGAATGTGACAGCAACTTCATTTTCTGAAACTGATGTTACATCCCAAGGACTAATTTCAAAGTATTTCTTGGCTTTTACAGACTTTTTACTGATATCAACAATTTTTATGGCACAGTTCAAATTATCAGTGATGATAAGAAGATCAGGAGTCAGGAAAGTCATTGCTGTTACCCAGCAATCACACCTATCTTTTGATGTTTTGATACAGATTTTATCAATTTGTGATGATTGTCTTGACCTCAAAGCAGAAGATAATGTTCCACCTTTCAGTGTTCCCAGTGACTTCTCTTTTTCAAGAAGATTTGATATTACCTCATTTGGTTCAAAATTATATTCTTTGACTTCAAATTCTGAAAGCTTATCAACACTCTTTTCAAGTTCCTTTATCATCTGTTCTGCATGTATCAGTTCCATGAACAAATCATTGGCTTCTTTGGAAATGTTGAACTGTTTAATAGCATCAGAACATGTCTTCAGAGATTTTGGTACATCTCTACATGCAGTTTCAACAATCTTCAAATTCTTGCTATTGTCCTCTTGGATGGCTTTAGCAGCGTCCTTGACTTGTCTTTCCATTTCATCTAGTCTTTGGTTGATCTTTGTTCGGAATTTCAATATGTCGGTCAATGCTTCTGCTAAAAACTTGTTCGATACCTCACTCATTTTCTTCAAGTCTTGAAATGTTTTGCTTGATCTTTCAGCCATGTCGTTCAAATCCTTCAATATATTTTGACATTCTTTGCTATTGATTGTCCTGCCTGAAATGTCCGATATATAGTTGACTTTGCAAGATGTTGCTGTATGCTCAAGTGTAACACAAACACTGCAAACTTGAGCCTTATGATCATGACAGTAAAACTTGATCATCTCAATGTTGTGTTTAGGACATGGTTTTGTGAAATTATCTGATTGTTTTGGAGTTACAGGTGACATTGTCTGAGGCATGTTGGTTTTGTCTAGTAAAGTATGGTGTCTTGATAATGTGTGCCTCTTGTGGAATGTAAAGCATGCTTCACATAAATGCTCTGAACAGTTCTTACAATATCCATGAGCAGAACGTCTGGGTCCATCACGATCACATGGCTGACAGTAAAGTTTGAGATCTTCATCAGAGCCCATAGAAGTTGTTGAAGATGAAAATTGTTTGATGGCTTTTTTACCTGGGACAGCCATGATTTTCCTGAAACAAAAAAAACCCAAACAAATGAATAACCATGTTTAATGATTTTGAAAGTTTATCACAGTATGAAATGAATGTTTCGTACAATAAGACATTTGTTGCATGATGCCAAAATAATGTTTTAAGTGTTTAAGATAAACAGGAAGGACAAGAATTTTGGAGGGCACAAAAGATTAAGGAAAAATATTTGTCTTTTTAAAGATACAGTCTCACATGCTCAGTTTATTGTGGTCAATCTTTCCTTAAAGCAACCACTTTTACATGTCAAGTGTTTGTGTTTTATAGATCAGCGCCTCATGCGATCACAAGTGTCAACGATCAAAACCAAATATTAGTTCATGTGTGAAAATGTTAAAGTCCAAAAAAAGAGAATATGCGAATGAAGTATACATGCGATAATCCTAGAAAATCATTAAAGCAAATCAAAGTTCCGCACCTACTGTGTTAGTTATTACGCTATCCTGTTGATATTTAGACAGCATTGAATTGACATTGAGCTTGATCAGCAGTTTAAATTCACATTGAGCTTGATAAGCAGTTAAAATAAACATTGAGCTTGATCAGCAGTAAAAAATGAATGTGAACTTGATCAGCAGTTACAATTTGAAATAAGCTTGGTCAACAGTCAACATTAACCTTTTGCTTGATAAGCAGTTAAAATTGACATTGAGTTTGATGAGCACTTAACATTGACATTGAACTTGATTAGCAGTTAAAATTGACAATGAGCTTGATCAGCAATTACAATTGACATTGGGCTTGATCATCTGTTAAAATTGACACGGAGCTTGATCATCAGTTAAACTGACTGACTGCTTGATCAGCAGTTAAACTGGCATTGAGCTTGATCATCAGTTAAACTGACATTGAGCTTGATCAGTAGTAAAATTGACCTTAAGCTTGATCAGCAGTTCAATTCGACATCTAGATTGATTAGCAGTTTAAAATTGACATTGAGCTTGGTGACATTGACATTGATCAGCAGTTACAATTGACATTGGGCTTGATCAGCTGTTAAAATTGACATTGAGCTAGATCATCAGTTAAACTGACTGACTGCTTGAGCAGCAGTTAAAATTGACATTGAACTTGATCAGTATTAAAAATTGACCTTGAGCTTGATCATCAGTTAAATTTGACATAGAGCTTGAGCAGCAGTTAAAACTGAAATTGAGCTTGATTCGCAATTATAATTGATATTGAGATTAACCATCAGCTTAAATTGTCATTGTGCTTCATCAACAGCAGTTGCAAATTTTTCATTGAACTCGACAAGCTGTTAAAATTGACATTGAGATTGATTAGCTGTAAATATTGACATTGAACTTGATGAGCAGTTAAAAATTACCTTAAGCTTCTTAAGCAGTTAAAACTGACATTGAGCTTGATCTCAGCTATATTTGACATTGAGCTTGATCAGCAGTTAAAATTTACATTGAGCTTTATCAGCAGTTAAATTGACCTTCAGCTTGATCATCAGTTAAAATTACATTAAGCTTGAGCAGCAGTTAAAATTGACATTGAACTTGATCAGCATTTAAATTGACCTTCAGCTTGATCATCAGTTAAATTTGACATAGAGCTTGATCAGCAGTTAAAACTGAAATTGAGGTTGATTCGCAATCTAAATTGACATTAAGATTATTCAGCAGCTTAAATTGTCATTGAGCTTCATCATCAGCAGTTGCAATTTTTCAATGAACTTGACCAGCTGTTAAAATTGACATTTAGATTGATCAGCTGTAAAAATTGAATTGGAACTTGATGAGCAGTTAAACTTTACCTTGAGCTTGATAAGCAGTTAAACTGACATTGAGCTTGATCTCAGCTATAATTGACATTGAGCTTGATCGGCTTTTAAAATTGACATTGAGCTTTATCAGCAGTTAAAATTGGAATTGAGGTTGATCAGAAGGTAAAAATGACATTGAGCTTGATCAGCAGTTAAAATTGACCTTAAACTTTATCAGAAGTTAAAATTAATCTGGATCTTGATCAGCAGTTAAAATTACCCTTGAGCTTGCTTAGCTTTGGACATTAACAATGAACGTGATCAGCAGTTAAAATTGACATTTAGATTGATCAGCAGTTAAAATTAACATTGAACTTGATCAGCAGTCACGATAGATCTTAAAAATGTGATCAGTAGTTAAAATTAACATTGGGCCTGATTAGCTTTGGACATTATCAAGGAACTTGATCAGCATTTAAAATTGACATTCAGCTTGATTAGCAATTAATATTGACGTTGAGCAGTTAAGATAGATCTTAAATTTGATCAGCATTTAAAATTGACATTCAGCTTGATCAGCAGATAAAATTGACCATGAACTAGATCAGCAGTTAAAATTGACATTGACATTGATCAGCTGTTAAAATTCACAATGAGCTTGATCAACTGTTAAAATTGATATTGAGCTTAATCAGCATTTAACAACGACCATGAGCTTGATCAGTAGTGAAATTGACACTGACCTTGATCAGCAGTTAAAATGACATTGAGCTTGATCAGCAGTTAAAATTGACCTTGAACTTTATCAGAAGTTAAAATTGGAGTTGATATTGATCAGCAGTTAATATTAACTTTGAGCTTGATTAGCTTTGGACATTAACAATGAACGTGATCAGCAGTTAAAATTGACATTTAGATTGATCAGCAGTTAAAATTGACATTGAACTTGATCAGCAGTCACGATAGATCTTAAAAATGTGATCAGTAGTTAAAATTAACATTGGGCCTGATTAGCTTTGGACATTATCAAGGAACTTGATCAGCATTTAAAATTGACATTCAGCTTGATTAGCAATTAATATTGACGTTGGGCAGTTAAGATATATCTTAAATTTGATCAGCATTTAAAATTGACATTCAGCTTGATCAGCAGATAAAATTGACCTTTAACTAGATCAGCAGTTAAAATTGACATTGACATTGATCAGCTGTTAAAATTCACAATGAGCTTGATCAACTGTTAAAATTGATATTGAACTTGATCAGCATTTAACAACGACCATGAGCTTGATCCGCAGTGAAATTGACACTGACCTTGATCAGCAGTTAAAATTGACCTTGAGCTTGATATGCAGTTAAAATTGACTTTAAGCTTGATCAGCAGTTAAAATTGGAGTTGATCTTGATCAGCAGTTAAAATTGACATTGAGCTTTTCAGCAGTTAAAATTGACCTTGATCTTGATCAGCAGTTAAAATGGACATTGAGCTTGATCAGCAGTTAAATTTATTTTGAACTTAATCAGCAGTTAAATTTGACATTGAACTTGATCAGCAGATAATTTGATTAATAGTTCTAATTAGACATAGTTTTTTTTTTCATTATTTAAACACTTTTGTGTCAGGAACAAGTAAAAGAAAATTAAATTTTGACTTTTTCTTATTCGTTGTCTTAAGAGACTTATGCGACCATTTTTGGTATTTCCCTTGCATGTTTGCTAATTACAATTTTGACTGTAAAACCCCTTTTTGTATGACAATTCATTTTGTCTGATGTAAAATGATGAAAACAAAACAACAGAAAAAGACATTTTGTCAAGCTTGTACTTGTGACGAAATGTTTGTAACATGCAACCCCAACAACTTAACCAAGTTCATTTTGATCTTATATTCAATCTTATATCTTGTTTTACCTTTTTAATCGATCGTTGAAATATTCTGTGTACACATTAAATGATACGTCACTCTCATATTATCATAGACAAACAGTATAACATATTTACATTGTTAAAGTCACAAAGTACAGCTATAAGAGTCATTGAAAGTGTATATACAGACCAGATGTCCAATAATGTGCAGTAATGAAAGATAAAAATTGCATAATGGCAGATTTAAGTTGTGCTCTGCTGTTTAACTATATAGAACATTTGTTTATAATTTTCATTGATTTATCTTGATACAAATTACTTGTGTATGATGACTTATGTAGATTTTGTCTTTTTGAAATGATTGTTATTAAATTGTTACTGATGTTCTTGTTCAAATGTAAAAGGTATAATATTTCTGAAAATATTTTAAATTTACTTTTTTTGAACTATTGCTCCTTTTTTTCTGATCCCTTTATTACAAAATAGCTAGTTCTTTTAAGAATATATTGTTTTTATTAATATAAAAGTGATATTTTTTCATGCAGTTGATTTAAGTTGATTTTATATTAACTATAAATTGATAGCTACTTTAAAGTGCTTTCAACTTTGAATGATCTTTGTGCAAAAAGAAAAAAAGTGAAAAATCTAGTTTTTTTTCAACATATCTAGTTTACATAACAAACACATAAGAAATCAAAGTAACATACCTTTTAGCTTTAAACGAGAGTTATACTCAAACAGTTTTTAATTCATTGCTCTGTTTAATATTAAGAAAAAGATTTGAAAACACAAATATGTCTTCCTTCAATCTTAAATATTTTATTTTTTCTTCCTGGTAACAAGTGTAAACAAGTTTCATAGTTACAGCAGGTCGGTCGATGAATTGAATGATAACATGATCAGTCAATGTTAAACTAAAGAAAACTGAAGATTGAATTTTCGGTTTATAAATACGGTGATATAAATGAGCCGCGTCACGACAAAACCAACATAGTGCGTTTGCGACCAGCATGGATCCAGACCAGCCTGCGCATCCGCGCAGTCTGATCAGGATCCATGCGTTTCGCTATCCGTTTCTCTACTTATAATAGGGTTGGTAAGCGAACAGCATGGATCCTGATCAGACTGCGCGGATGCGCAGGCTGGTCTGGATCCATACTGGTATCAAACGCACTATGTTGGTTTTGTCGTGACACGGCTCAAATTATGTTTAAGATTGAGAGTATATTTTAAAAGATCAATAGACAAGTTATATTTATTTTAAACTTGCATATTATTATTGCTTTACTGGGTCGTCACTATGTGCATGTATTATGTGCATGTATTGTTTATATTTTTGACTGTAAATCACAAAAATCATACATGTAGGTCCAGCTTTATTATTAGTATTGTTTGGCAATATTCACCTGACATTGATAAATTTTAGGAAAGCTTTTCGTTAGTTTCCGTTATAAGTAATGATTGACACATTTGCTTTAAATGATAGTACAGTTCTTGATTCTTAATGTAATCCATATTTATGGTCCGATGGTTTAGTGTTTTGGATAACGGAATTTGTATCGTCTAGTTACATGTTCGAGTCCCCGAAGAACTTTTATATAAAGTTCTTTAACAAATTAGTTCATTCTTTTGATCAGAAGTTAAAATTGACTTTGGGCTTGATCAGCAGTTAAAATTGGAGTTGATCTTGATCAGCAGTTAAAAATAACATTGAGCTTGATTAGCAATTAAAATTGACGTTGAGCTTGATCAGCAGTTTTAATTGACGTTGAACGTAATCAGCAGTTAAAATTGACTTTGAACTTAATCAGCAGTTAAAATTGACATTGAACTTAATCAGCAGATGATTTAATTAATTATTCTAATTAGATATTTTTTTAATTTCAACACTTTTGTGTCAGGGACAAGTAAAAGGAAACATTGGTGGAGTTTGAGCTTAAAAATTCTTAAACATTATCAAAAATGTATGAAATGGATCAAATCCGTTTTGCATGTTATCAAATATAAGAAAGTCACATTTTTTAGCATCTATTTAGATTATTAGAATATTATAATTGTTATGCATGTTCCAAAACTTATATATATATCGAATTATATTTTGACTTTTTCTTCTGCTTTGTCTTAAGAGACTTATGCGACATTTTTTATGTTTCCCTTGCATGTTCGCTTATTACAAGTTTGACTGTAAAACGTACATTTGTATGACAATTCATTTTTGTCTGATGTAAAATGATGAAAACAAAACAACGAAAAGACATTTTGTCGAGCTTGAACTTGTGACGAAATGTTTGTAACATGCAACCTCAACAACTTAACCAAGTTCATCTTGATCTTATATTCAATCTTTATATCTTGTTTTACCTTTTTAATCGATCGTTGAAATATTCTGTGTACACATAAAATGATACGTTACTCTCATATTATCATAGACAAACAGTATAACGTTTTACAGTGTTAAAGTTTTTTTTTAAAATAAACACAAAGTACAGCTATAAGAGTTATTGTAAGTGTATATACAGACCAGATGTCCAATAATGTCCAGTAATGAAAGATAAAAGTTGCATAATGGCAGATTTAAGTAGTGCTCTGCTGTTGCTATATAGAACATTTGTTTATAATTTTTATTGATCTTTTTGATTCAAATTACTTGTGTATGATGACTTTTGTAGATTTTGTCTTTTTGAAATGATTGTTATTAAATTGTTACTGATGTTTTTGTTCAAATAATAAAGGTATAATATTTCTGAAAATATTTTAAATTTACTTTTTTTGAACTATTGCTCCTTTTTTCTGATCCCTTTATTACAAAATAGCTAGTTCTTTTAAGAATATATAGTTTTTACTTATATTAAAGTGATATTTTTTTCATGCAGTTGATTTAAGTTGATTTTATATTTAATTTAACTATAAATTGATAGCTACTTTAAAGTGCTTTCAACTTTGAATGATCTTTGTGCAAAAAGAAAATAAAAAAGTGAAAAATCTAGTTTTTTTTCAACATATCTAGTTTACATAACAAACACATAAGAAATCAAAGTAACATACCTTTTAGCTTTAAACGAGAGTTTATACTCAAACAGTTTTTAATTTATTGCCTTGTTTAATATCCGAAGAACCTTTATAGAAATTTCTTTAACAAATAAGTTCATTTTTTTTAAACAAAATATGAGTGAATATCATTTGTTTAATTACTGGCATATATAACTTTTTTAAGTTCATAACTTTGAAAAAAAAATCTTTCATTAATTTCAATATGTAAAGTCGTTCAATTAATGATTCGCATGCACCCAAACATAGTAGTCATGTTATATGATGAAAATAATAAAAAGTTAAAAAATGTTTCTTCATGATTCAAAATTACAACCTTCGGCTGGCAACTGAAAGTCTAAACACTTTGTCACTGAGACTAACACGGCAAAGGTTTAAGCTATGCATATACTGTTATACCATACTTTAAAGGAATTCCACTGGGTGCAAAAGCTAAAACAAATAATCACACTTTATTACACATATCAAATGGGGCACTTAAAACAGAAAAGTATGCTACCATTTATATGCAAGGTCAAGGTCACCAAGGTGATGAAATATCAAGATGTTGTCTTATGCATATCTCCTACATGCATGGAAGAATTTTTATAATACTCGATAGGAATATTCAACACTATAAGCCGTATTGCTCCACGCATGATCCAGTTCTCTAGTTCAAAGGTTTACATTGAAGTGGTGGGGTTTAGTCAATCAACCACTCAATGAGGTTTATATGTATATTTATTCTATAAAGAATAAAACCTGTGACAAGTAAAATAACAATCAGACATCACATTACAAAACAAATATTTTACAAGACAAATACATGTTACTTGTGGGGGTATATTGTTTTGCATTTGACTGTCGGTCGGTCGGTCGGTCCGTAGACCAAATGGTTTCCGATCAATAACCAAAGAACGCTTTGGCCTGGGAACTTCAAACTTGGTATGAGGATTGTTCATTACCAGTAGATGACTTCTATTGATCTTGAGGTCATACAGTCAAAGGTCAAGGTTACATTGACCTTGTAGGTAAAAACAGTTTCCGATCAATAAGTTGACAACCAATTAACAGTTAGTCCTAACACTTGGTAAGTGGATTGGTCTTGGCAAGACGATGACCCCTATTGATTTTGGTTTAAGGGGTCAAGGTCAAAGTGATATTAACCTTGTATGTTAAATGGTTTCCGATCATTAACTTGACAAGCCATAGGCTTATCGCACTCAAACTTTATAGGTGCATTGAACTAGGCAAGTAGATTACCTCTTTTGATTTTTAGGTCAAGGGTCATAGGTTCAATGTCACATTGACCTTGTAGGTAAAAACGGTTTCCGATTAATAACTTGACAACCAATGTGCTGTTGGTCCTCAAACTTCGTAAGTGGATTGGACTTGGCAAGTAGTTAACCCCTATCGATTTTAGGGCAACGGGTCAATGGTCAAGTTCAAATTGACCTTGTAAGTCAAAACGATTTCCGATTAATAATTTGACAACCCATGTGCTGTTGGTCCTCAAACTTCGTAAGTGGATTGGAATTGGCAAGTCGTTGACCCCTATCGATTTTAAGTCAAGGGGTCAAAGGTCAAGGTCAAATTGTCCTTGTAGGTCAAAACGGTTTCCGATGAATAACTTGACAACCAATGGGCTGTTCGCCCTAACACTTCGTAAGTACATTAGTCTTGGCAAGTAGATTACCCCTATTGACTTTTAGGTGAATGGGTCAAAGGTCAAGGTCGAATTGACATTGTAGGTTAAAACGGTTTTCGATCAATACCTTGACAACTCATGGGCCCTTGGCCCTCAAATTGCATAGGTACATTAGTATTGGCCAGTAGATGATCCCTTTTGATTTGGGACATGGACCCAAAGGTTAAGGTCACATTGACATTGTATGTCAAAACGGTTTCCTATCAATAACTGGACAATCCATGGACCATTGACCTTCAAACTTCACAGATGCATTGATTTTGGTTAGAAAATGACCTTTTTGCATTTTTTGGTGTCAAGAGGTCTGAGGTCGAGATCACAAAAAAAGGCTTTCTGATCAATATCTCAACAACTCATGGGCTCTTTATCTTCAAACTTAACAGGTACGTACATTGGTATTGGCCAGTAGATAACCCTTATTTAGTGATGTGGTCAAAGGTCAATGTCACATTGACCTTGTACGTAAAAACTGTTTCCGACCGATGCATATATTATTTGGTAAGATTTGTGATAACTTTGTCATAAAATTGCTTCACACAGCCTTTACGGTTACAATCACCTGAATGACTATTCACGACCAGTAGATAACCCCTATTGATTTTTTGTCACTAGGTTAAAAGTCAGTCACTAAAACCTGACCACATGGCTAATTGGCTGCCGATAGGGGGCATACATGTATTACAAACATATATTGTTAATATTTTGTTTTTGTGTAGTGTTTCGGTGAAACAACACTGTTTAGGTCATATTGGCCCAAAACAGAAAAGAGGATTTTTGCTAACCTTGTGTGTTACAAACTTAAAGCAACACCACCTTGAGCTAAGAGATGCATAAATTCAAGTTATTCGAACCTATATAGTCGCCTAGTTTTATCTAGCAGCTGGAGGTATTTTACACATGTCGTAGGTGTCATCATTTTAGGTAACCTACAAACACTAGTAACTCGTCCATTTCGTTATTTTTGTAAGCTTTGACCTTTTTTACTTTCATCCTATGGTAATAATTCAGTATGTTAACCTATGAAAAATTTTGTTATATACAAATCTATTTTATTACAGAGCTAACAGAGAATGTCCATTGTTCAGTCAGAGTGTGCAATAACTCCAGGACTATATGCCATGGGTGGTGCAGCAGCAGCTTTAGTTGGCGTTACGAGAATGACAGGTGAGTGTTTACTTGACTTGCTATTAATATTAACAGGCCAAACCTGGCTGGGTATGAACATAACCTGACTGATAAGTTGGTACTTGGCATGTGCCAAACAGTAACAGACTGGTAAGTTGTTACCTGGCTTGTCATAAACATGAACAGACCAATAAATTGTTACCTGGGTCGCGCTAAACATAAAATGAATAAGAAATATACTGTACACAGAAATTAAATAAAAAGTATTTTTGTGGTATTCTTAGCTCGATTTTAGTGAAAAGCTTGCAGAGCTTATTAATTTCGGTTCATTTTAACAATTATAAATATTCTGGAACATAGCAGTGCTCACAATTTATTCGTCTATACCTACATCAAATGGAATATTAATCTCAAAAATTTATTTCCAATCCCGTCTTCAAGATGTCAAAAAATCTCATTGGAACCCTTTAACGTCGTGTTTATTTTCTAACTCAGATATAAAATCGCATTTGCTGCACAAAACATAGACAGTGCGGAATTAAAATGCCATCAGTACACCTTATTATTCACAAAACCATGTCTTACTTACAACAACCTCTCTCTGTATCGAATTAACTTTACAAAATTACCAATTTAGAAGATTTATTAGTAGCATGTTTCACATTATTCGTCTAGATTTATTGCCAAAATTCTGTGTTTTTTATTTCTTCTCTTCGTTCAAATTAATTCAATTTACAATTTTTCATCGAAGGTCATAATTCTTATATTAGTTTGTTCATCACTGGTATGTGTCGGTATTGTTTTGTTGTGTCGATTAACCAAGTATCTTCCAATCTTACTTTTTCACGTTGTACTCAGATGTCCTGCACAAGTCCTGCATTAAAATAGGTTTCTGAACATTCTTGCGACATTATACAATTCAATGTGTACCTTGTCTTGCAAGCCTATACAATTCAAGGTGTACCAAGTCTTGAGAGCCTATACAATTCAACGTGTACCTTTTCTTGCGAACCTATGCAATTCAATGTGTTTTCTTGCGAACCTATACAATTAAATTTGTACCTTGCCTTGCAAGCTCATACAATTCAATGTGAACCATGTCTTGGGAGCCTATACAATTCAATGTATACCTTGACTTGCGAGCCTTTACAATTCAATGTATACCCTGTCTTGCAAGCCTATACAATTCAATATGTAACCTGTCTTGCGAACCTCTATAATTCTATGTGTACTTTGTCTTGCGAGCCTATACAATTCTATGTATACCCTGTCCTGCGAGCCTATACAATTCTATGTATACCTTGACTTGCGAGCCTATACAATTCAATTTGTAACCTGCCTTGCGAGCAGCTACAAGTCAATGTGTACCATGTCTTGCAATTAAAAGCACATTTTACTTCCAATCACTGTACATTTCTTGGGAGCCTATATATTTTTAACTTGACATTTTCTTGCGATAATTGGTAGTAGACTTGTTTATATACTTTATTCAATGAGTATACTGAGTTTTGAGTTGTATTTACGTCTGTGGCAAGCATAATTTGTGATATACAAAGATTAGATCATCTTGAGTCATTGAACTGCACGAGAGAGTGAATGAAAACAACAACAATGCTTTCTTCAAACATTATATTGGAAAATCAAGCACTCTTGTAAAGAAAAGATTTTCGCAGCAGGACAAAAGTTTAATCAAAATGTTATAAAAGAAAATCAGAAATAAACACATATTGTAATTGTATTAAATTTATTGAGATTTAAAAATATATATACAGAAATATAATAAGGCATTTAAACTATATACACAAATATTTTCATTTGTTATCATATTTAAAAAAAAATAAAAATTAACTATTTTATCCATTTTCTAAAAACAATTATATCTTGTTAAGAAAGATTGAATTATAAAGTTTTTTTTGTGACTATTTGACTGAATTTCTTTCAAGCATATTTTGAAACAATTATATAGATATGAAATTTCAAAAAATCTATAATGTTAATTATATATAAGGCTAATTATTTCGCCGAAAAATAAAAAGACCTTACTTTTATAATACATTAAAAAAAGGTGTGATTTTAAACATTTAAACAAGCATCATTCGTCGTAAAACATGTTTCATTATTGATTTATTAAGTCTTAATCATAGATATTAAAAAGTTACATAAGTATACAATAATACTAATAATTTACTATCATAAAGTTTTAATAACGTATAAAAATACAAACATTTATTTTATACAGAATATATGTTATTTTGATTGTGCAGGAAGCTATAAACTTATAAAGACACTCTCAAATTCGTTCCCGAACCCGTTCAGTACTGTAAAGGTAGCAACGTCTTGTCCCTGGCGGTATTGAAACCCACGCGGCCAGCAAACCATAGATTACTGGTCAGACCTATTTACCATTCGTCCACGCCGCAACACTTGTGTCATAAATTCCCTATTTATTTCAAATCAATTCCAATAAAGGAATGTAAAACAATTCATTCATTAAACTGTACCATGCAAACACATGTTCCGACATTATTAAGAAGACATATGATCAAAATAACCTTACATATTCGTAAGCATGCAAAAATGTTTAATATCAATGCACATATAGGCCTTTATCTTCAAAAGTGTTGATTAAACGTAAAAAAGCATTAAAATTTATGCAAGAATGTTATATAGTAAGTATTGTCACCAAAATCAGGAGAAAGGCAATAATCTGCAATTAACATGAGCACAATATATAGGTATAATAGTAATGGCGAAAGTAAGGATTGTGCGTAAATTCACTACTACATTTTGGCTACTGAATCGTAGACATTATTTAAAAGAGATGACTATATTATTTGTTTCTAGAGTTTGGAGTCGATAGCATATCAATGAAGCATTATGCCAATATAAGAATATATTTAACATTATATTAGAAAACATCCAATGTGATCTTATTGATACTCGGGTATAATGTTCAAAATGCTGTAACATTAATTTTTGAGAAAGTTTCTATTTTTCTAAACATATTATGAATCCGCTCTAAGAAACCTTACACACTTATTGAAATATTGCACACACACAATTAAAATTGCAATTATGAGAAAATAAATTACTTATTTTATAAATAAAATCACAAATAAAGCATGGTCCCTCTATATTGTTATAAATTGCTTAAATCTTTCAAACATTTAACGTTTGCTTTTTTGTATGCCATACATTTCTTGATAAGCCACTGTTTTGAAATTCCTGCTTTTTAAAACGTCATTGACTTGAAGCTGAAGTGCCAAACATTCCTAATTACTTTATGAAAAAGCGAAATTCAATGTTTATAAATCAGCTGCTATTGACAAGTGCACCCATTATTCAATAAGACAGCAAAGGTTTTTAATTATATACACATTTTTATGAACACATTTCAAATGGCACTAGACGCAATCATGTCTTCCACACAATAAAAATATATAAAACCTTGAAATACATGAAAACATTCTTTCCATAAGCAAAACAAAACGAATTGTTTTAAAAATGTTCATCTCATAACGTGAAAACTTTTGATAAAATATTTTACAACTTTCCTTTACTATGAGCAAGCAAAGACAAGCTTTGTATGTGTAACTATGGTAACCATATAATTTCATGTATCATTTTCAAGTCATTAAACTAATACATTTCCAAAAAGTATTTTTATACACTGAGAATAGAGTAAAATGTTCAATGATGCAAATATTCTAATAAAACGCGTTGTCTTAGAAGTAGTAACACAAATAGCGATTATTAACAATTTGATTCGTTTTGGTTTTGTTTCTTTGGGGATTTTCTCAGACTGTATCCCTTCTTGATCTCTAAGAGAAGTTTATCTATAATACACCCGTCGTCCTCTTGCGAAGGGATCTTTCTTGGCTCTGAAAGTGCAAATCGAAATAATTAAACATGGCAAACAGTAGCAAGAATTGTTATAGAAGCTAACACACTAGTGGGGGTATATATTCATTGATAGCAATTGCAGAAGCATAGCAAGTAGGTATGCCAAATGACATTCTATCTATATATCTTGTGGAACTCGATAACTTAAGTGGTTGTATTTGATATTGTATGGAAAATAGATAATAAATAATTCTTTACGTTTCTGAAAATAATTCTGAGATGTCATATGATTTGCCTTTTAAATATTTGTGTAAAAGAGATGAAACTAATAAGAAACGTCAAACAACTCTGCAAAATACCCTCTCATTAAAATACCTTATCAATCAAAAGAAAATGGAAATCAAGTTTGCAAGATTATATCTAATTACGATATTTTGTCCAAAACACAATGAATAGTTAATAATTGTCATAATACACTTTGTTACTTTTACCTTTAACAGTTTAAGGAAACAGATTCTAATTATGATTATGAAAACATTCTAGCATTACATAAAGATTAAGAATTTTCAATTTTGAATTTTTAAACATTCAATCGAGAAACGTTGACTATTTCGGTTTCAGTTGATGTCACAATTGCATGGCGCAGGCATTTTGAATCAAGTTAACTTACTAATTCATTCCGACATAAAACACAGGAATACAAAAATTCTAGAATGCTTACGCTTTGGTTTTGCCTTTATTTCTGCTTGAGCCTTCCTTCGTTTTTCCTGTTTTTCTTCTTGTATTCTTCTTTGTTCATTTTCCTTAAAAATATTTTATTTCAAAATAACTCGAATGTACGATGAATTTTATCTTGCATAGAAAAAACATCGTCTTCATTGGTTTCATTCTATATTTTATGTATTTGAAAAGCTTAAAGAAATTTACAAACGCTACAAGGGAATGACTGTAGCAGACATTTTCATGATAATATTAACAGTATGTTTTGAATTATCGCATCAATTAGTTATCTGGACGGACAGGCAAGCGTTTTACATATTGTGTTTATAGATTTTTTGTGTTTGATATTTATATTGGATTTTTCAACATAAAACAGTAATTATTACAATACATTAATGTGGTTTCCCTATTTTATCAACCAAGATTAAGGGCCGCATAAAGCTCATAAACCAATGAATGTTTGCACGCACTGACGTATGAAGACCAAGTCCCCCCTGTGAAATGGTAGAGATATTATTATTATTATAAGTATATGATGTAGGTAAAATACCTTCTGGCACTGTCGTACTTTCTCACAGAATGTTTTCATTATTGTCAAGAATTCTTCCAGTTTAAAACTCTGCTCATTCTCACAAAAATGAATGGCTACTTTAGTCGACAACTCATTTATCTTTTCTAAATCATCTTTGATGTCTGTTATTTCAAGTTTTGCTGACTGCAATAAATGTATATTTCAATTAAATATATTAATAAATTTAAGTATATCTTTGCCGTCATTTACTTTATGTTTGGTGTTCTCTTTTTTGAGTTGTGACATTCTTAATTTAGTAACAAAGAACATGATACTTTAGAATATAAGTGATATCATTATGAAGGCTTGTAAACACTAAATACTTACTTAGATTGAAGACCTTTGAAAGATAATACGACATAATGATAATAGTAAAATATGAAACAAACAATCATGATTTTACTTAATCATGTATTAAGATTATAAAAATATCAAAGTAATAAAGTTTGTTACCTTAATGAAGGCCTCAAACTGAGTCTTAAGATCTTCTGAAGAATTAACAAGTTGTTTATCAATTGATCCAATAGATGTGCTGACTTCATGAATTTCTGCATTTATATTATCTAACGTATACCTGAAAATAAGAATATTAAGTGTAACAGAACTCCATTTTACTTATAAAAAAAGGCTTTATATGAGCCTTTTTAATTGCAACGAAAAGAAAACCACAACCACTAGGTCATGGTTTGCCTAATACAACTACAGGTTCTTCTTTGTTTTTAATGTAATAGACGCATCTGGTATCCGTTCATTAGTTAAGCTATAATTAATGCTTGCATTAACCAAATGATCCTTAGAAAGAACTGAATGAGAAAAGTATCTATAAAACATCTTGAAGCAGTACTTAATTTTCTTAATATGTTGCAATCAATGATCCCAAAGGCCAGAAACATATAACAACACTAAAATTGCAGACTCGATTTGAGTCTGTACATGTCGGATAGTGAAAGAGTGAAACGTCCTTCGCATCTCGTAGCATCGGCTTGAAGCAGTACTTAATTTTCTTCATTCTTAATATGTTGCAATCAATGATCCCAAAGGACCAGAAACATATAACAACACTAAAGTGAAGTAAGGGGAACATTTTTACAGTCGCATCACGACACATAACAACTGCTGTTGTGAAGTGTCAAAATCACACTTGGGTAATACATTCAACCTCTCGAGAAATCGTACATGTTTAACTAGTAACAGAAGTTTCCTTTTTTATATTTTCATGATAATCTGAAATTATTTTCAACCAAACAAACGTAATTGGAAGTGTGAAGATTAACAGAAGTGAACCATCATTCAAACTCTGAAGTTATTATTTATTGCACTGGTTTACTATACTTACTTGGTAAGAAAGCTTAGATCTGGGAATAATTCGTCAACAAATAAAATAGCGTCATTATGTTTCTTTTCGGCTTCATTGACTAGATAATGTAGCAGAGTGATGCGTGGTTTGTTCGCCCTCGTGTCAATCAACTTTGTCAAAGAGCTGATCCGGAAGCCTACCGCATTCCCCGAATATTTGCCCTGTGATAGATTAAAAACAATAATAATGTTAATCAGTTTGGTGTCTAGTTTATTTGTTTTACGCTGCTTCTAACACATATTTGCCCCATGTCTCCGCAATCGGTCCACTAAACCGGCATCTTGGATAACTAACCAGAAATAACAGATTTCCCTGCAGGTTAACGACTACTAATCCCACCTGATGAATCAGCGGTAAGAGAACAAGAGCTGTCCGTAAGACAGCGCGCTCGACTTTTTTATTGCTTGCCAATAAAAAAAGTTTTTGCAGTAAAAGGCAATACAAGAATCTCTGTATTTTTAAAGTGAATAATGGCCATGAGCATTAAGATATTTAGTGAAGAATTATTTTACTGAATTGTGTGATACCCTTGAACACTGCAGCAAAGTTTGAAATGTTTAAGTCAAAAGAGGGCTGGTAAGAAAGAAAAAAAAACTGAGTTGAGCCTTAAATAAATTTAATAGTATTAAACCCACTTTGAGAGAATAAGGTATTTTTACGTCACTCAGAACACCTTGGTAAATGACATAATAACATAATTTTTCAAGAAATCTATGCCAAGGAAGCAGTATATTTTTTTGTACAATCAGCATAATATATAGATTTGACTCTGTATGTGATGTTTATATCACCTGATTGTAAACAAGTATTCCAACTTTCAAATTAATTCTCAAACAGCTTCAGTCAAAAAGTGGTCACTAGTACTAAAAACTTAACCAAGATTCTAAGTCGATAAAAGGCCTTAATTTTTAAAACAAATCCTTGACAGAGTTACCTTCTGTTGCGTACAGATGGGGGTAATGATGTGAAATAGCATTAAAAGTTTCAAAGCAATATCTCAAAGGGTTAAGGCAATAAGTGGATTTTACCCATATTCAATGTATTTTCTAAGTCAAAAAGGGGCATAATTCTGTCAAAAACCTTGACAGAGTTATGTCCTCTTGTCTGTTGATGAAGGTCGTGATGGTAAACAAGTATGGTCAGTTTCAAAGCAATACCTCCAATGGTTTTGAAATAAAGTGAGGTGGTACAAAAAACTTAACCAAGCTCAATACACTTTCTAAGTCAAAAAAGGGCCATAATTCTGTCAAAAACCTTGACAGAGTTATGTACTCTTGTCTGTAGATGGAGGTTATGATGGTGAACAAGTATGGTAAGTTTCAAAGCCATACTTGTAATACTTCTGAAATAAAGTGGGGTGGTACGAAAAACTTAACCAAGGTGTGACGCCAACGCCGACGCCGACGCCGACGCCGACGCCGGGGCGAGTAGGATAGCTCCCCTTTTCATAGAAAAGTCGAGCTAAAAATGACCATTAAACTGACTGTCCGAGATCAATTGTCAGGGAGAAATCGCCCCGCCCAATGACCGAACTGGCGGATAACGGATTACAAATCAGGCGCATGAGTGTTTTCAAGAATTCTTTAAAGGAGAAAAACAATATCACAATTCATTAAACGACCGTACAAAGCAAATAAAGTCAACAATATGAAAAACTTAATATTGAAATAAAATACATATAGCTTTATTTGATATATATGTCTAAATGACAAACTCCGATCGCTGAAAACAATATTTCACTGTTACAGTAGCGAAGCATATCGTAGAAACAATTTGAATTGGTAAATATGATTCCTGTACCATATATGAACGCATGCCTGTTAATAGTTCTAAAACAGTCTTAATTAAAATTAAATGCCGTTCTCATATTATTTAACCACAAGTTCAATAACATACCGATTATCATCTTCTTAACTTCATGCTCTCTGTCATTTATATTTAGCTTACAAGATCAAGATTGTGTAAAAAGGTATAAATACTATTCATATAATAGTCATTGTCAATTTAGTGTTGAGTATATCCAGATTATAATTTCTTTGTAAATACTACTCGCTTAAGTCCATGACCGAGTGGTTATGATCGTTCACGTCAAATCATTTGCCCTAACCGATGTGGGTTCAAATCCGGACAGGGACATGCGAGGAAGCTATCTAGCCAGCTTACAGAAAGTTAGTGGTATCCGCTCGTTCCTAAAACAATGCATGGAGGGGCGCGTCTGAGGTCTTTCTCAGCCGCCATATGACCTGTATTGTGTTCGTGCGACGTAAAACCAAAAACAACAATAAAGAACGCTGAAGAAATTTTGTAAAAGTTTAAGAATTTGATATTGTTTTGAGAAAATATATCTTAAATACCTTTATTTTAAACAATACCTTTATTTTAAACAATACCTTTATTTCGAGCAATATTACATAGTGTGGAGCTCATATGCGCTGTAGGGATGTCACGAAAGCAGAAGAAAAATTGTTTCAACCTGCCAGAAAAACTCAGCTTAAACAAATGATTACTTGATTCTGTGCTTGTCAAATGATAAAAAAAACTTTTTCATGTAAATCGAAATGACACGGACGACTTCAATTCCCTGTTTTTTCCAAGTAAACAGGCAAACTATAATAATCATTTGGGTTTATTTGGATCATATAAAATGAACATAACAACGCATATATCATCAACATGTTTGTGTAAGAATTATTGCGTCGCCTTCGTGCAAAAAACGGAATAAGTCCATCATAATTTAATAGCAGTTAATCGGTTATCGCAATAAAGTGACAACTTACATGTTGTTTAAACTATTCTTAGAAAAAAATACTTACAGCATTGATAAAGTTTCCAGTATGTAGTACAAATCGGAGAAAGACTTTCAAGGAGTCATTTTCTGTCAGGTCCTTACATGTCTTGATAAATGTTTGCATCAATGGTTTAAACTTTTCTGTAAAGGAGACGAAGTCCAGCTTTAATACCATAGCATCAATTCGCAGCTTAAAGCCATCGAGTGTTTGAAGGTCAAGGTAAAATTGTTCAGCATTTCCAAGCTGTGCCCTCTCGCCACTGTACTCCAGTATAGGTTTCAACTAAAATTAAAAACAAAAAACCCATATATTATGATATAGAACAAAAAGGAACCAGACAGGTAAACGAGGAGCCAGTCTTCAAAGCAAATGCATCAATAAAGATCTCTATTACCGGTAAGAAGATGCATATAAATTCAGTAACACAACATTAGATGCATTTCAATTTAATGAATTATTTCTTTAGAAGAAAGATATCAATTTTGAGAGCATTGTTGTAGAATAATGCACGTTCTGAGTTCAAATGCGTAGGAATATAATCACGAAGACCTGTGTGATGCAAAGATCCCTGACCTGTCTTAATCTAATTATCAGATTTCACCACATCGTATGTGTTATCAAAAAGGCACATGTCAATGTTTGGGTTAAATCTATTGGAGCTATCAATTGTTTGCAAAGCATTTGAACGATAAACTGTGCTTTATCATACTATAATGCAAGACAAAATTAATATATCTTTCCATTCTCAGTTGCTAACAGATACGAGAGAAATGATAAAAATTTGTTGAACTGCATTGAGTGTTGTAATAATTTTTCCTGACATCGTTTGATTTATTGACGTCATATCTGACATCATAATATTATGACGTGTAAGCATTCCATGTTGGTGATGTTCAGATATCGTGTAATAATACACTTAACCGCTCTATCTGTTGATAGGGGAATATTGTTAAGCGTGTAATAACATGTCTTATGCCTATTATATACAATCTCATTTATCCAAGTGCTTAAAGCAAAACAAAACATATTTCAGGGCAAAAATCTCATAAAACTACAAGTGGGCAGTATTTTATTACTTCTAAGAGTTGTGTATGTTTATTTTATATATCGTTTAATTTATTTCTGTATAATGTATTATTCAGAATTGTCAAAGTTCAAATGAAGTTCTTGATAAGAAGTCGGCTATGTACAAATGATATTTGTGCACAGCGCAACAAACGAAATAAACTTCTTACTAGCTATTTATCTAAATTCAGACATCCATGAATTAGTTAAAAAGTTTGTATTTCAAAGATTATTTGATTGTTTTCAATCTGAGATACAATTTAATGGTAAATAAAAAGTAAATAAAAATACAAAAAAAATAGAAAAATGATAATAAAATAAAGATTCCTACATCGTCGTTCTCTGGTAGGATCTTTTGTAATCCCCTGAGTCGTTCGTTGCCTATTTTGCTGATATCTCCTTCCTTGATCATATCCACTATTTGTTGATTGTTTTCTTTAAACTGTTTCAAGAATATATTAACACTCATGCTTTTCCTGTTGTCGAGAAGAAGGACCTTATTGAATAAAAATAGAACATAAGATAACTATAAAGAATCAGACATAGCAGTATCTCATTTCTAGACGAATTTTGTAACTTTTCAAAACAAATTCTTCCGCATATCCCATATCACATAAACTGCATTTAGTCTTTTAATAGATTGGGAAAATCCAATTCAGACAGAGAATATGATACTACACTCAGTGAATATGATTTTATAAACTGTTCTCTGGACTTCTGTTTTGACCAATGACATTGCTTCTTTATTTAGATCAAATAATAATATACAATTATTGACTAGTTATCCATTAAAAATGATGTGATATGGACTGGCTGATGAGATGGCATATTGAGCATGCTACCATGATTTATAAAAGAACACCATTTAATACCTTGGATGGAACATGTTTTGCACTATGACCAGTTTTCGTTGATTCTTCAATTTGTTTCTGACAGAACAGTTGTTCAATTGTGTCGTAATTTACAGGTATTTGGTCGTCCATTGAAGACACCTCTTTCCAAACGTTACTTTTTACTGTAAGTTAAAGGTAACATTTTATTAACATTTCAAATGTGATACGCCGAAGTATTCAAATGGTACTTAAATATAAAGCACACTATAATTTTTGGTTGTGGTTTACGTCGCAACAACACAGTATAGTCATATAGCGACTTTACAGCTTTACTGGCGGAGGAAAACCCAAGATGATCTTCCATACATTATTCCAGGCAAGAACGGCACCTGAGGAGAACCACCAACGTTCTGTTAGCAATTGGATGAAATATTCCAAAGTTCCTGTCAGGATTCGAATCCACAGCATATAAGTGAAAGGACATTGTGTTTACTTATAAAAACACACAGTAAGTGGTGGGAAAAAGTGTTAACTTATAAAAAAAGACATAATAACCCCTAAAGATGTGTCTTTACCCTTTTACATAACATGAACTTAAATGTTGATATTTAAATATACTGTTATCTTCTTTCTAAATATCCATATAATTTTATAGAAATGATAACACCATAGTAGAAAATTACCTGTCACAGAATTTGGAGGAACTTTAGTCCAGTTAAATGTTTTCATTTTGTGTTTTGGTGTAGGTGTACTGATTCTAGGCACTGTTTCTGGTTGAGATCGCATTGGATATGTTGCAGCTCGAGTAATTGGTCCACCTGGTGGAGGAGGTGGTGGAGGAGGAGATCCCGGAAGACCCGGAGGTGGAGGGGGAGGAGGAGGGCCTGATCCTGGTAGTCCTGGTGGAGGTGGTGGTGGAGGAGGGCCAGATCCAGGGAGTGGTGGTGGTGGAGGGATAGCTGAACCTGGTGGGAGTGGTGGTGGAGGAGGCGGAGGAGGAGCACCTGGAAGAGGAGGGGCTGGAGGTGCGGGAGGAGGAGCTATTCCAAATATAGGCGGCGGGGGAGGGGGAGGAGGTACTGATGAAGCGTTACAAGACGCATTGGTATTTTCCGTTGAGCCATTCACTATCACGGTATCAGTATGACCAGGAGTTCTAAATGGAATATTTTTAGAAGACAGTTCACTTAGTGCATTTGCAAATGATGCTTTTGCATCTGCTTGTATCACAGATATTTGGGCATTTGTTACTACACTACCCAAGTCAGTTTGCGCACTGAAATCATGTGTATGCTTATTATAAAATCCACAATGATCACAGAAAAGTCTTGAAGATTTGCCACTTTGTGGCCCAGGTTCAGGAGCACGCGGAAGTGGCATATAAACAGCTTGTCTTACAGCGGTCTCTGCACAGTCCCAACGAATATCACTGAAATAAACAGAAGAAAATATCATTTTGCTGTGTTATGCAGGCATGGGTCGACGGTAGAATTCGGTAGACTATGGTAGAATTCTATGCATTTGATTTTACAGAAAATAACTTTTTTATAAATATCTTATTCATGGTAAAATTCTTAAATAAATTCTCCTTAATCTAAAGAAAACGTACTCTAATGAATATAAATGTCACTTATATACCTTGTTATGAATTCTACATGGTACTATGTATATATTTGATTGGTCTAATTATGATATAGTTATAATCTTACCCTTCAGTTTCTTCTGTATCTATCCGAAGTAATGTTTGTAGAATTATCAGCAAAACATCTGAATGAGGAGTATTATATACCTGAAAAATATTTTCCTGACTTATGAAGTTGCAATGTTTGCAATAATAATAATAATAATAATAATAATAATAATAATAATAATAATAATCATAATCATAATAATATTAATAATAATAATAGTAATAATAATGATAATAATAATAATAAAATATGGTACACAATGATGGCTATATGACCATACATAGGACCAAACAGGTGTAGTAATGTATAGACATACTTATGTCAAATTGCAAACCATATCCTACCCTGCTTTTATAACACAATATAGGTAAGCATTAGTGACTCAATGATTTCTTTAACAATTTTGAATCATAAACTGGAATAGATCATTTTTGTATAAACGGTTAATTTGTAATGACAAAACATGTACTGCAATTAAATTTTCATCACACAGTCATAGATCTATGTTATAATATACTTTATGCTTTATATCATCCAGTTAAGTCAAAGGCCATAATCTTCATGTAATATCTTTTGTAGCAGAAGTAACTTAGCATCAGAGTATAAATGATCATATACGACAATTATACATGTGCCTAAATTTATCATGGACAAAATTATAAGGCACTAAACTGTAAAAGAGTTAAAAGTTAAAAGGTAGTTTCATAGTGACGTATTTTCATTTGTCTAAGAATACATAATTTATGATCCCAAACTCTCATTATTAATTGAAATGTTTCATCACTTGTACCATTTTTAAAACCTTTATTTTATCTTAATAAACATTTGTTAAATGTTAAGAACATACTCTAAAAAAATTGCTTTACTATTTTTCGTAATGTATAGTTAAATGTATATTTTTTTCCACACGTGTCCCTTTGGGCCTTGAAACACTTTGACCTTTAAAACATAATATTAGGTAAATCCATGAGTTTATGCTCTACTTTTTGTACAAAAGTAAAATAAGAAAATCAAGACCAACAAGGAAGGGCAGCATTTTTATGAACGCATCCCCCAACATAAGACCACCGACAAGGAGTCCAACAAGACACCTAACAGAACAGGGCACACGGACCAAATAAAAAAACGGACGGGATGTAACCAAACCTATAATTTGTAAAAAGCTTCATCTAAGTTCATTTTAGCAACATTTAACTTATCTATTAAAGTTATGGCATACTTTCTCAAATAGTGCATTGAAGACAGCATTGTGATCATTTATGTTAACACCGTCTGGGTTGAGTGCAGCAAACGCCTCGTCGTCTTCTTGTTTCTCGTCATCAAACACATTACACTGTATAACAAGATCTTCGTCATCTTCGTTACGTAACTCATCAATGACGTCAAGAAGATTAAGACCTATTTTTAGCAACAGGAAACAAGTGTTATATGTCATTACCTCATGGCAGTCATTTTTATTCATTAATTCTGACAGCCGGTAAAATTATAAAACGAACACAGTTTAAACCTTATTTTAGAATTAGGAATAAATTTTCTAAGTCGGTAATTGTTGAAAATTATTTCTCCTAGAAATGGTATTAAGACAGATCGTCATAAGCCTGACATAAACTTATATATTTTAACAAATTGGCAAATTGTCCTTAAATTAATATTTAATATATTTAATTCCATAGCTCATTTTATCCTTGAAAATAACTCTACAAATTGCAAGAAACATCGATTGGACTAATATTTATTCTCTGTTATAAAGGGCAACATAATATACAAAACGGCAGCACAAAATTAACAATCCACTGAAAGCTATGCAAAAGAACTCAACAAAAAATTCAGAAAAAAAGTAAATAGTCAGAAGAGAAAAAAAGGGCAATAAACCCATAATAGTTTCCAAGACTAACTTTCAAAAAACGAACGTTCCGAAACATATTTCTATCTTAATGTTTTATAAGTAGTTTTCCGAAAAGAGCACAGATGTAAGATTGTTCCTCACACTCGTTCGAGATTTGTTATTAATCATATAATTTTCTCTAGGGAAATTCTTTCTTAGAAATATATGTCATTTCCTTGTAAACGCCGAAATCTTTTAACAGGAAACGTACGACATTTGTCAAAGCAGACGATCTTAATTCGAATAATTGTATCTTCCAGCAGACTAACTGGGTTATGATATATTACAAAAGTAATTATAAAACAGGAATGTGTGCCTGTTTTGTCATTACGTGTAAATAATGACTAACAGTATACCTCTTGTTCATGGCATGACTGGAGGTAAATAGTGGGAAAAAACCCCAACAATCTTACTTCTCAGATGGTATCATATAGATTCCATTTATTTGCTACTATCTATAATTATCCATTAAAAGATAGTCAGTCAACACTATAGAGACTGACCAAATTGCACGGATGACAGCAAACATTATAGAGTCTGGGCAAATTGCACAGATGTGCAGGATGGTCAGGCCAGAGGTTTTCTATTTTCTGGATCCTGCAGTGTAAGATTTAATGAGAATACGGACAAAACAAACATTGATGTTGACCTTGCTTTTATAAATAAACGTAATACACTCCTTGTGAAAGCGCTTATTGGCATATTATACACACGGCCTTGCAATATCGTTTTTACGGAGTCGTGCAATATCGTTTATACAGAGTCCTAAAATATCATTTTCACGAAGTCGTGTAATATCGTTTTATAGAGTCGTACAAAGTCGTTTTACGGAGTCGTCGTGCAATATCGTTTCAACAAAGTCTTACCCGTGGTGAAAGTTTATATTTTTATCATTCTAAATAGGTAAATAATATAACTAAATATCAGACTACAAATTTATATCTACATAATTTGAAGTGGCAAGATATTTTGTTATTGTACGAGTTATGTGATGTCAATATTAAATGCTCTTTTTGTCTTTTTTAAGGCTTACTAATGGTATGATAACAAGTTTGACCTTCTATAGTGGAATGAAATGAGCTGGAATCAATATTCTAGGGGATTTGAAGAAAATTATAATTAATCTTTTAATACGACAACGTAAAATTTTGCAAAAAATCTTACGAAAATCACGAAAACACGACTTCAGAATATCAGCTAAATTAAAGGAGATAAATCAAGAGAAAAAAACATTATATATTTACAATTATAATATTATCATTACGAACTTGATTACGAGAATAACTTTATATACGATAAACGTTTCTATAAATAAAGAACCATTTTTTTAAAACGTTGCATGCCTCCAGATGAACCAAATTATTTCAAAGTAAATCAACCTTGAGAAAAATGAACTAAGAGTTTAAGAAAAGTAAAAAGATACAAGATTAAAATAATAATTTACATGTTATTTGTGATTAATGGCTCATTTTTGAGCACTTTTCACCATATTTCTTCTCATGACTAACACAGTTCTATTTTGCATATTTTGACCTCTGGTATGGTAATTTACGTGGATTGTAAGTTCCGTTTGCAATGTTAAAATTAAATACGATTTCAAAATTTTCATGAAAATTAGCATGAACCTGGAGGCATGCTGCTTTAACAAGAGGGCCATGATGGCCCTAGATCGCTCACCTGAATTATCAAACTCATCCAAACAATTACCTAGACAAGCATTCTGACCAAGTCTCATGACAGGTGAGTCAAAAATGTGACCACTACAGTGTTAACAAGGATTATCCATATTTGAGCAGTGCGACCTAGTTTTTTACCCAGGTGACACATATTCAAACTTGACCTAGAAATCATCAAAACAAACTTTCAGACCAATTTCCAGGATACTTGGATCAAAACAGTAGCAACTAGAGTGTTAACAAGATTTTTTCTATTTTTAGCTCCGGTGACCTAGTTTCACATGCGATTTCGAACTCATCCAAGCAATTACCTAGACAAGCATTCTGACCAAGTTTGATGATAATGGAGTCGAAAATGTGACCACTAGAATGTTAACAAGGTTTTTCCATATTTGGGCGGTGTGACCTAGTTTTTCATCCAAGATGACCCATGTTCGATCTTGACTTAGAAATCATCAAAACAAACTTTCAGACCAATTAACAGAATATTTGGATCACAACAGTAGCCACTAGAGTGTTAACAAGATTTTTCTATTTTTAGCTCCTGTGACCTAGTTTTTCATCCGAGATGTCCCATGTTCGATTTATTCCCAGCAATGACCTAGACAAGTTTCCTGACCAAGTTTGATGACAATTGAGTCAAAATTGTGACCACTAGAGTGTTAACAAGGTTTTTCTATTTTTAGCTCCTGTGACCTAGTTTTTCATCCGAGATGCCCCATGTTCAAACTCATCTGAGCTATCACCTAGACAAGCATCTTGATCAAGTTTGATGATGATTGATGCAAAAATGTGACCGCTAAAGTGTTAACAAGGTTTTTCTATTTTTAGCTCCGGTGACCTACTTTTTCATCCGAGATGACCCATGTTCGAACTCATCCAAGCTATCAACTAGATAAGCATCCTGACCAAGTTTGATGATGATTGATGCAAAAATGTGACCGCTAGAGTGTTAACAAGGTTTTTCTATTTATAGCTCCGGTGACCTAGTTTTTCATCAGAGATGACCCATGTTCGAACTCATCCAAGCAATTGACTAGACAAGCATTCTGACCAAGTTTGATGATGATTGGTTCAAAAATGTGACCACTAGAGTGTTCACAAGGTTTTTCTATTTATAGCTCCTATGACCTACTTTTTCATCCGAGATGACCCATGTTCGAACTCATCCGAGCTATCACCTAGACAAACATCCTGACCAAGTTTGATGAAGATTGGGTCAAAAATGTGACCTCTAGAGTGTTCACAAGGTTTTTCTATTTTTAGCTCTTGTGACCTAGTTTTTCATCTGAGATGACCCATGTTCGAACTCATCCGAGCTTTCAACTAGATAAGCATCCTGACCAAGTTTGATGATGATTGAGGCAAAAATGCGACCGCTAGAGTGTTCACAAGCAATTGTGGACGGCCGGACGGACGACGGACGACGGACGACGGACATTCATCGATCCTAAAAGCTCACCCTGAGCAAGCTCAGGTGAGCTAATAACAAGAGCTGTCAGAAGGACAGCGCGCTCGACTTTTTTAGTGCTTGCCTATAAAACAAAACTTTGACAGTTAAGGGCACACAAGACTTTAACTAGGAATTTCTAAGTACAAATCAAGAAACATTTTCACAGAGTTATCTTCTCTTGCTTACAGATAGGTCTCATGATGGCACATAAGAACTCCAACTTCCAAAGTAATATCTCAAATGGTTAAGTCAACAAGTGGACAAGAATGAAAATCTTAACTGAGTTTCTAAGTCAAAAAGGGCCATAATTCAAATAAAATCCTTAACAGAATTACCTTCTCCTGCCCATGTTTTGGGACCATGATGGTAAACAAGTATTCCAACTTTCAAATTAATATCTCAAACAGTTCAGTCAAAAAGTGGACTGGTACTAAAAACTTAACCAAGATTCTAAGTCGATAAAAGGCCTTAATTTTTAAAACAAATCCTTGACAGAGTTACCTTCTGTTGCGTACAGATGGGGGTAATGATGTGAAATAGCATTAAAAGTTTCAAAGCAATATCTCAAAGGGTTAAGGCAATAAGTGGATTTTACCCATATTCAATGTATTTTCTAAGTCAAAAAGGGGCATAATTCTGTCAAAAACCTTGACAGAGTTATGTCCTCTTGTCTGTTGATGAAGGTCGTGATGGTAAACAAGTATGGTCAGTTTCAAAGCAATACCTCCAATGGTTTTGAAATAAAGTGAGGTGGTACAAAAAACTTAACCAAGCTCAATACACTTTCTAAGTCAAAAAAGGGCCATAATTCTGTCAAAAACCTTGACAGAGTTATGTACTCTTGTCTGTAGATGGAGGTTATGATGGTGAACAAGTATGGTAAGTTTCAAAGCCATACTTGTAATACTTCTGAAATAAAGTGGGGTGGTACGAAAAACTTAACCAAGGTGTGACGCCAACGCCGACGCTAACGCTAACGCCGACGCCGACGCCGACGCCGGGGCGAGTAGGATAGCTCCCCTTTTCATAGAAAAGTCGAGCTAAAAAAACAAAAAAAAAACCCAACAAACATAAATAGGGTTATATCAGCTTATAATGACGACAAAACATATTTACCTATAAACTGGTTGCGGAGTCGAACCCGTTCTTCGAGTTCCTCGGTGGCAACTAAAATACAGTTGATAAATGCAATCAACGTGGTCTTGTATGGTACAATTTCAGCTGTCCTTAGCTCATGCACAATAACGCTGAACTTATATCTGTGTTTCTTGGCAACCTGTTGACAAATATTTGTATATTTTGATTCTGTTATCATTATTTATAAAAGGAAATTATAACAGTCTACGTTTTCCTCTACAAGTCTAAATCATTAAATATTTTATTAATATAAGTAAAAATTCAAATGTTGTCAATTTAAATGTTCATTTCCCCTAATTAGTAAGGGTCACGGGAGATTAATTACTAATGTTATTACTAAATCAAATGTTATTACTAACACACGTGCAGTTTAATAACAGTTGATTGTGGAGACATACAATCAAAACTAATACATACATATTTATACATTATATGTATGCACATTATTCTTAATTTTACAGTTTTAAGTAGTTAGCCAAAATGTGTAGGCTCATTTGATAATAGCAATCACGTGGTATGAAACATTGATGTAATCTTAAGGATCACGCAAGCTATAACATTTTGTAAATTTCACACTCAGAAAAATGCATTGAGTGGGGATATAAATAGCAAAGTCACTTTCGCATGAAAGTACATGTAAACTTCATGAATTTTAAATTAAATGATGTATAGCGTATTTGATGTATTGGTGTTTTTCAAAATTAGAATAAAACACAATTAGGTTTAGTGTTAATAGAATGTGCAAGTGTCTATCACAGCTTGATGTTTTTCTGACATGTTTCACTTTTAGCCGGTACGTGTTGTCTATTCAGTCAGAACTTATTTTGAAATTTTCCTCACAAAACTGCCGAATGGGTTTGTCAAGATTAATAAATATACAAGTTCATGAAAGATATTCAATAGGGTATGTTTAATGTTTAAGCAGCATGCCTCCATAATGATGCTAATTTTCATGAACATTTTGAAAATATATTTGAAAGTTAAATATTGTGAAGTGAACAAAGAAAGTAATTTACACAATGAAAACAGCACTAACAATCTACGTAAATTACCTTAAAACAATCTATATAATATTATGAAAAAAAGCCTTACTACGTAAGTCTTTTAGTTTAAATATGGTGATAGATAAGGCAAAATCAGCCATTAATAGCACATAAAATGTACATCTTTATTTGGAATCTTGAAAGGTTTTACTTATTTTTAAAATCTTAGCACATTTTTCCCCACGTTAGATTTTCTTGAAATATTTTGGTTCATTTAGAGGGATGCAGCTTTAAAGTTGCAATTTGTTGCTTAAACACAGCAGTTATAATGTATATAAATAAGATACAAATACACGCCTCGTCAATTACCAATCAGTATAAGAATTAGCAAAATGACTTCCTTAAAGGGAAATTACATGTAGCAAATATCTGCAGTAACTTGACCGCTAAGTTACCTAGCAATTGTATCGACTTAACATAATAAAAGCCGCAGACGTTATAATAAGTCAATGCGTAGTCTAGGATACTGGTATACGAGATAAAACCATAAATGGGTAACTAAAATAGTAACGTTCTATAACCAGACTGCTATCATCGCGCATTTATTTACCAAGAAAAATATATCAGAGATTTCCGCAAACGTTTTTTTATTCTCATTCATTCAATTCGCAAGTTTATTTTGGTTTGAATATAACGCTGTTCTTTACGAAGATAGTAAAAATTTTAAGGTCATGATAATGTATCGAATAATAAAAAGGAAATAAAACAACAGTTGTCGGTAGGAAATCTGCTCGACTAGTCTGTCTGATATTAAAACAAAAACCTGGATATAATGTAGTTTTTTCCAAGTTTAAAAAGGGCTATAGTTCGGTCAGAATTCATGTTAGAGTTCTGGGCCTTTGACAAATACCAATTTGCACGCAAAACGTTAACCAAAGTGTGACATCGACGCCGATGTATAAGTGAGTACAACGGCTCTAGCTAAATAAGCGACAATACTATGTAGAGATATCTCACAGTGCACGGTCTTGATACACGAGAAAATCGTGCATATAAATATATTGGTTAATTATATATTGAATTATAAATATTCAAATTAAGTTTATTTTTGACATCATTTATTAAATGTGAAAACAAATACAAGTAGCCAAGGTTGAACATTACACGCCGATTAATTTACGTAAAACGAATAGTGGAAAACATAGCTTTAACAACTTGATATATGGCCACGACGACCATAGAAAACTATGAATATGAAAACCTCCAGGGAAACTGTGATTTTTGTATCTGAATTATTAAAGGTCAAACTGTAGGCTGAAGATAATGTTTATGAAGCAAAACTGTGTATGATATTCATATTATTCCATCCACTAATAGGTGGCATCAATTTAATGAACAGAATGTCAAACAATATCTGGGAAGATATGTGGGATTTGACAATTTCATTTTTTAACCTTTGTGTTAATTTATTAATATTAATAGATATTAATTTTGCTTGCATTATAGTACAATCATGCACGGTTTATTGTTCGAATGCTTTGTAATTAATCACTCAGGCTCTATTGACCTTCGTGATTAAGTTACTACGCATTTAAACTCAAACTGTACACTATTCTTCAACAATGCATTCATAATTTATATCTATTTCCTAAAAAGATAATTGCACGTTAACAAGTACTTCTACTTTCATTTTCCTCAAGTTGACATGAATGAAATATAGCAGATAATACTCTTTAAATACGCAAACAATGGCTTTATCTATGTGCATTTATCTATGAGTTGACGGGTGGTAGTATTTTCAGAATCAAATCAGGGGAGGGCTGATCGCTAATGTTGTAATTACTTGAGGCACAACCCTTTTGCTAGTTGCTATTTTTTAAATCAATTTGTTTCTCTGTATATTAACATGTATATATTAGCAATAAAATATGATTAGATTAAAACAAATAAAATGAAGTTCGCTGACTTCGAAATAATTGCCCTTCATTATACATGTAGTAGATTTTTCCATTTGAGTTGGATGTTCGGCACAGCCGGTAGTTCTATACAAATGCCCGCCCGTGCCAGAAATAAAATCTTTTTCAACCAGTCAAACTGAGAAGTGACAAGCTACCTGGTCGGTGCGACTAAACATCACCGCTATAAAAAAGTTCAATAATTTACCTGACGCCATATGAACATCATACCTTAAAGCTATCCAGGGCTGCCAAAGTAAGCTGGTAACCTTCCGTAGAGTATACACATAAAGCTGAGAGCAGTTCAAATACTTGTTTCTTGACCATAACATTGTTTGTGTCCAATGCTGAAATAAATAATGAACGAATAAATGAATGAACGAACGAACGGACAAACGAACATACAAACAAACTAACAAACAAAATAAACAAAATAAACAAAAAACAAAACAAAAAAACCCAAAAAACAAACAAACAGACAAATAAATAAATAAATTAATTAATTAATCAAATAATAGTTAAATAAATAAAGAAATAAATAGATAAATTAAAAAATTAATTAATTAATTAATTAATTAATTAATTTATAAATAAATTAATACTATATACTGTGTCGCTATGATAGTGTGAGAGTGACGTTGCAATTTTTGTGTACACAAAAGTTAACAGTCTTTGTCTGAATAGGTAAAACAGGGTATTTAGAAGTGAATATGATTCAAAATCAGAAATAGAATTTGAAAAGTCTCGATGGCAAAGTTGGTTAAGTCACTAGCATGCCATACATATTAAATTGTATCATGAGTTCGAGCCACACAAGTTGTCAAACCTTTTTTTCCCTTTTTCTTTCCCTATTTTTATTTTTACATGAGATGCAAATTAATTGGAATGTAAAGGCAGTTTTGTTATAATTTCGAATAATTTATATATAACGGAAATAATAATTTTTATTCTGTGTAGTGTGTAATATATATTAGTAGTACTTTTGCAGTGCATAAGTTTTTCGTGCCAACTAAACTATAGTGGAAACAATTTATGTACATGTATGCATTCCGTATCAGGTTGCACTAACTTGCTAGATATAGCAACTTTAAAAAAAACTGAAATGAGAAGTTAATAGAAAATAACACAGCGCTTATAATTTTTACAAGAAAAAAAAAGAAATTCTTAATCGATTGATAATTATACAAAAAAAATTGGGACCGAACCTGGCTGTCTTGCATTGATATGTAACTAAAAATTTACCACACAACTTTACCTACTGTGTTACGTCGCCAGTTGGTAAATTTGTCGATATTTTAATTTATATGGCAAGTCTGCTTGACTTAAGATATTAAACACAATATGATAACTGTTTTACACCGTTAAAGTGGACTTGACCACCGCGTCACTAAATAATTATCCTAAACGCACAGTAGGATTTTTCATCATTCAGCTGATCTACATTACTCTAATCTTATGTGTTTTTTGACGTGTAAACGATATTGTAGGTTTTATAATTCTTACATTTATTTTAAAATCAATGCTAAACACACAGACAATATTACATTTATAACATAGTTTAAATGTCAGCTACCGAACAAAATGACAATATTACATTTATATACGAAGTAAGAAATATCAACTACGAATGAGTCAGTTAACACTTCATGTTTTTGCATCTATGTTTCTTTATCAATTTCTTTACTACAGAACTAGTACGAGTCTTCAAACTAATATATATTAGAAAACACATTTGGCTTGTATATAATCGTATTGTACTTGTTAAACATAAAATATAATAGGTTTTGGTAAAATCAATATGACAAAAGTATATACAGAATAAATTAATTGTGACCGACATTTCTATGACTGAAATAAACACACTAGAACATTTTGAAATAGATTACTCACGTAGAAACATTACAAGATCTCTATCATTACAAGAAGCTAAAAACGAGGTGAATGACTTCAATAAATTGACATCGCACAGAAAATATATTTATAGTAACATTAGCGGCGAAGTGAATGGCAAGGAAAATTCTATATAATTATGGTAAAATTTTAATAACTGTACTAGATAAAGCATAAAGAATTTGCAGTTTATGACTAGATAATCTATTGTATATCCCTAACTTGCTGGCAATACACGTGATTAGCTTGGTCAGCATACAGGCAGGTCAGCTTGTATATCCACAAAGTCTTACGAGATGTCCTACAGTTGGTAGCTCAATTTATGCACTTAATATTGAAATCAACTAACCTTTGAATGGACTATACAAAAATAAAAACTTAACAAATCAAATTTCAACATATTAAAAGGTAATATATTATAAATTTCTTCTATCATCTTGTATTGTTAAAGATGACTCAAATCCCTACATATAGATTTTATGGCACATTGAGTATTTTTGTCATTGACTGACTTTGTCATGGGCGATATTGTCATGGTTGATATGAATATAAATAATTTATAAAGTATGTCTGCAACAAGTGTACGTCACATACAGTCTACAAATGTATTAAATATTTGAATAGGGTTATCATATATCTCTGGAATGTTTCTTAATATAATTTACCACATATTGAAGATTTACGTCGACGATTAACAGTTTATCTAATAAAATTTAGGATTAAAGTAATCTACTTTTCATTCCGATCTCGGCTACATGCCGTATATCCACCTAATCATGCATTTTATGAATTTAATAAAAATGATTTCATCTTCAACGGAAACTATTTTTTTTACTTGAATATTAGGGCAATTACAATGCTACAATGCCTTTCATCCATCTAGAAAGCTATAGTACACGGACATTACGTTTTCTTTCCTTCACAAAAAATTTAGTCAAGTATAAATAATTGATCTAATTATTTCAACCTTGCCAAAGTCAGCATGATCATTTCCTTACACAAGGAAAACATTACCGTAATTCTTGATATTGCTGTTGGTATTGACAATACGAAAAGCATTTTATCATACAGGGACTTTCCTGTGTTATGCCTTATGTTCCAAATGCCAAAGGGTAATTACATGTACATAACAAACTCGAACTCAGACATTTATAATGATATTTTTGTCTTGTAACAGACTCTTGCAGACAAAGCAAAAATTAAAACTATCAACAGATAATATTTCTCGTAAGACAATACATTTTTATACTTAAAGATTCAATTGTATAATCCAACCCTCGACAAAAAAATGGCTGGTTTCAATGTCTCAGTATCTTAATATGCCCTTTACAAGAAATTTTTTTTAAGCACTTATTTACATTGACTGTTTGAGACGTTGCCATAAAAGTACTTGAAAATTGAAATTAAAGAATTTTTCCACCTCCGACCTTTATTTTTTTTTCGCAAAATATCCAAAAAACACCTGTTTTATGGGAAATTCACATAAATCATTGCTAATTTTATTTTGATTAATAGGTGTTCGACCTTTTGTCTTTTTGTGTTTTATATAACCCCACATGACACAGTTGTCTTAAAACGATTCATGATATCTTAAACGGCAAATAATTTCATATTTTTTATACTAAACAATAATAGCTATAATTGAACATTTTCTTCGTAGCCATATTGTCAATGCCAATTATTGCAATAGCAAGGGGACAACATGATTTTAATAATCTACCAAAGTTAGAGAAACTTTCCCTCGTTCTTTGTCATCGTAAATGTCACCGTTAACAGGGCTTAAGTCACAATACTGTAAACTTTTATTAGAATCTGTCGATTGCTCGGAACAAAGCCATGGGGAAACCTAACAGTTATGTCAACACTTCCGTTCTAGTTCGCATCACGAAGTCCAATTACAGGCAAAAATGTGGTTACCATAGCAACGAGTTTGTCTCAAAATAGTTCTGTTTTAAATCTTTATTAGAACAGTTTATTTCGAGTATCATCACGGTCTGTTTATGTTAAATAATCTAAAGCTATTAGTGCACTGTATTCAATTTTTCAATGTGATTTTGTTGATTAAACAAATATAAGTTTAAAAAGGCATGACCAACAGAACGATTATTTGGGGAAAAAAATCATCATACAATTTTATTTTAGATATAAAAATATCTGGATGCACGCGAGTTACTGAGTTGGCAAGACATTTTAATTAAAGATTTGGTTACGTATAATTTAATGAATATACAAAGCTTTGATGCCAAGACACAATGTCATTGATGTACCAGAGGGCATCGGATTACCGTATGTTTCCTTTGGTAATGAGAGATGCTCAAATCGAAGTCTTAATGTCAAAAATGTATTCAATGTATATATTTTAAACAAAAACAAGAAACATGGCAATGCCATGAAACCAGGTTTTCAATTATCACCATTGTAGATAAATATGTTGTATTTGAAATACAAATACAAGCAACAAACAATGTAACTATGTGCAATGTAAAACATGAATAATGTAGGAGGAATTGCCACTGAAGAAGTGTTCACTATAATATTATGTATAAGGAAAAAAACAAAGGGCCATAATTAGGTCAAAAACTATCCAATCACAAAACCCCGACAATATGTGCCAGGGTGCTTGATGACAAAGCTTCTGTGAAAGTTTGAACAAAATCCGTTGAGAAATGTAGGACGAGTTCAGCACAGAAGAATTTGTTCACTATAATTATATTGATAATTCTGTATAATGAAAAACAAGTTACAAAGTAGACATGAAATAATATATCTATATCTTTTTAAATTTACCTCCAAAGATGATATGACATTTGACTGCCAAATCAAGTTAAAATCATGTAAACAGGATTTTCAATGTTAATGTCACTGTGACCTTGACCTTGGAGCCAGCCATGCGGAACATGCGTTCTGCACGTCATCTTGATGTGGTAAACATTTGTCTGAAGTTTCATCAAAATTCTTCAAAGGGTTGAAGAGTTACAGAGCGGACAGGATTTTCAATGTTAATGTCACTGTGACCTTGACCTTGGAGCCAGCCATGCGGAACATGCGTTCTGCACGTCATCTTGATGTGGTAAACATTTGTCTGAAGTTTCATCAAAATTCTTCAAAGGGTTGAAGAGTTACAGAGCGGACAGGATTTTCAATGTTAATGTCACTGTGACCTTGACCTTGAGCCAGCCATGCGGAACATGCGTTCTGCACGTCATCTTGATGTGGTAAACATTTGTCTGAAGTTTCATCAAAATTCTTCAAAGGTTGAAGAGTTACAGAGCGGACACAATTTCGTTTGACGCCCGCCCGCCCATCCGCCCAGCCGCCCATCCGCCCATCCGCCCGCCATACCACAATCTAATAACCAGGATTTTCAAAATTGAAAACCTGGTTAATAAAGAGGGCAATACTAGAACACTTTACATTTTTGTTGCATTTCACTAGAAATGCCTTACATTTTGTGATA